TACCAACTACGAAACTATGAATGCCCAGACATGCAAAAAATGAGCTACCTGTTACATTGATCTGATGCATTATGTCAAAAGAAAAACTAAAATATTCCTCTGTATTACTTCTTTATGCCAGCAATTGCTGTAGTTAACACAGTGCTGTCACATGATCATGAATGCAGAACTCTGATGATCAGAACAGTCATGCTCAACCTCTGGCCTACAGACCACATCCAGACTGAGAGGCCATGTCAATCAGCCCGTGGGTCTCCCCACAGGTCCAGAAATTTGTTGGCAGTTGAGCGGTGGCAGCATTAATGCAACTCCTTGGTTGCCAAATTTCTGGACCTGTAGGGAGCCACACAGGTCAGATGAGGTACAAGTGAACAGGTCTGTTTCCCCTAGTGCCTCCTGGCATGACAAGGAACAACGGACACAAATTATTGGAGAGCAGGTTTAGATTAGACATCTGCAAGAACTATTTCACAGTTAGGGCAGCTAGGAGCTGGAACCAGCTTCCAAGGGAAGTGGTGCTGGCTCCTACCCTGGGGATCTTTAAGAAGAGGCTTGATGCCTACCTGGCTGGACTCATTTTGAGTTCAGTTTTTTTCTCCTGCCCAGGTGGAGGGGGTCGGACTTGAAGATCTACAAGGTCTCTTCCGACCCTACTTCTATGATTCTATGATTCTAGGTGTACAGGGGTGGACCAATGCACAGGGTCACACTTGTGGACCAACCCTGAACACAAGATCCAACCTGTGGACTGATCCTCTGTCATTCCTTTGGCCCGCAGGGCTGGACAAGCTGAGCACTTGAATCGGAATATAGTCCACACTATGAAGATGTTTGAGAACCCCTGCTTAGAGGCACTAATTCTTACAGAGGATATGGTATGTATTTGGTAACTGTGTTGGTCTGAGACAAAAAGAAATGCAAAACTGTAGAACTCTTGGTTAAAAGTTGACACCTTTTATTAAATCACAAAAAAATCATCTGTCTTTGCAATCTTTCAAGCATACACACCCTTCTTCAGGCTGCAGACAAATCCAAAATGGTAAAAATCCTAAAAAAGTTTAAAAATAAAAGAGGGGGAAAAAAGGATTTTTTTGGAGGAAGGGTGTGTGCCTGAAAGCTTGCAAAGAAAGATGATTTTTTTTTTTTTTTGCAATTTCTTAGTTGGTCTAATAAAACATATCATCTCTGAACTAAAAGTTCTAGAGTTTTTGCATTTCTAGAGGATAAGCCCACAGAACAAATTCGGAGTTTCTAGACCTTGCTATTTTTGGATATGACGTGAAAAAAAGGAGAGGGGAGCACTATTATCAAAATGATTGAAATACAAGATTAGCAACATGAGCAGAATCAGATTATGCAAAGCTCTAAAAGGCTCTTCAAAACTTTCTGATTCTCAAGAATAAACAGGAGCGTCACTAAAGTTCAGTTAACTGGCATTTGTCACAGGAAGTTGTAAAATTTCCTGTTGACCTTCCCTGGAAGCCAACCATACTTTTAAACAGCAATCATCTTCAAGTGAACTGCTTCTACCACTTAGACTTCTTTGGGCAATACGGTGTCAGCAGGAGAAACAACTACAAGAAAAGTATCAACTGCCAATTTCATTCAAACTAATCCTACAAAAAAAGATTTGGATTACTTTAAGTCATTTCCAAAAGCTACAAGACCAATATTTTCAAACCAGCACTACTTAACCAAATGCCAAGATCTCGTCTGTTATTTCACCGATGATACAAGGCATCACGGCTGCTTACAGATGTTTAAAAAAAAATAAACAAAAAACAGTACTTTTCTTTAAATTCAGTGTGCTCCCATGCTCAGCACAGTAGATGCCCAGAAGAGGCATTGTGTTAGTTGGACCCAGATCACCCAACATCTGTACAGATTGTGTGCATTAGTGGAGCTTTTTTGTGCTTTTTATCCAACAGCTGATTAAATTGGCTTTATATAAAGTGCCAAAAAAACCCACTGAGACACACGATCTATAAAGATGTCAGAGAGCCGGGTCAAACTAACACGCTGCTTCTTCTAGTTAAAAACTATTTTTTTTTAAGGTCTATAAGCAGCCTATGTGCAAAGACACATCAGCTTTATCATTATTTGCTATGTAGGGAAACCACCAATATTTTTAGGCATGCGCCCCTTCTCACCTAGGAAGAGTCCAGTGATCTGATTTTGTGACCAAAACTGGATGTTTTAATACAATATACATAAAGCCTAAAGTAGTAATAGTCTATTAAAGCACTGAAATGAAAATTGCTTGATCCATGAGCCTCTTATCAAAATCTTTGAGTTACAAAGTGTTCACTCCTCTACATAAATGATAAGGTGAAAAATCATTCATCCTTTGAAGACGAGCTTTATAAGTATGGCACAATAAGTTATGTACTGTATTAAGGGCTTAATCCTGTAGTACAGGGGTGGGCAAAATGTGGCCCGCTGCACACCCCCCAGAAGGCACGGGGGGGCATGTGCCCCCAATCTGCATGTGGGGCAGGGCAGGCTGCTGCTTTCGGCTGGGGCCAAGGCAGCACTGGGCTCTTCCTAGAGGGGGCTGGGCCAGGCTGCATTCAGGATGGGCAGCAGTGGCAGTGCTAGGAGGGGGACTCCAAGGGGGGTGCTGC